TTGTCTCCCTTACTCCCTCCTAACTTTGAAGGAATATTTTCTTGGGATTAATTCTTTCTTATTTAGTAGTCAGGGCACCCTGACTTCTAAATAAGAAAGAGAGAAATAAGGAACTCTAAGTCGGGGATCCCCACTGAGGGGGGGGGCGCGTTAGTCAGTGGAAGAATAAAGGTCGTCCTATGTATGTCCCCCTCCCCTCGCTTGCTCATCGGCAGGCCCTTTGGGGGAAAAACCGAAGCTCCAAAAAAAATCCGGAAAAGGTAAAGACGCTGGGAGAATTTGTGAACATGGCAGGTGGTATGAGGGATAAGGAAAGGGGAATAGCTACCAGTGGAAGAACTTTTGAGAGGGGGGGGGAGTGGGGGAATCGTATTTTGTAAAAATTTTCCCCAACAGCAGGACGTGCCCAGTTAGCAATGTATGCTGATGCTGTATTGAGCGCTAGTCCTCAGTCAGCCTGAGGAGCGTTATCTGTAAAAGTTTCTGAACAGGAACTTCTGCTGGTACTTATTTCAAAAACACTGAAGTTGAAAAAAAACTTCTGCTCCGGAGACATGTCAAGTTCACGTGAACAGTAAAAATAATTTTTGTGAAATTGAAACAATGAATACAAACTTTCTCATGTTCCAAAATTAAACAATATACTTACTTGATTATCTTCATTTTCCTCTTCATCGCTATCGTCGCAACAGTCAGCGCAATGCCATTCGCAGTTAACCTTGACGAAGAAAGTTCGAGGGTGCAAGCGAATAAAGATGGAAAAGTCTGGAATGGCGGCAAAATCGACTTCGGAAACAACCCACTTTTTTCGGAACCCTTTCCAGGGGCGGATCAAGGCAACCAATATGGTAGTATTCGTAGCAAGAGTCACATCCAACCATCAAGTGTTGATCACTTGCCTGAAAATCTCAACTAGGCAGACAGAAAATAAAAAATAAAATAAAAAAATAGCAAAGAAAAACAAATAAACAACAGCTCAACCAATTAATCCATCTGCTGAACCTGAGTGCAGTTCTCTTAAAACGGCAGTGCCTCTAACACCATACTTTTTTGCAGTTTAAACATCTTGTTAGGAAAGATTCGTTGAAGTTTGACAAGTAGTTATCATTAACTTTCACAATTATCGAAGTATTGTGCTGTTATTGTTTATTTATTTCTAAATTGTAATTAAAATTATTACAAATCACTATAGATATTAATAATAATTATTTTTAAATTATGATTTGTGTTGTAATTATTTTTTAATAATTATTTTTAAATTTTGATTTGTGTTTATTGCATTGTTTTTCTTCGTCTGCCTGAACCAACATGTAAACAATAAACAATAATCTTATGGAAAACAACAATGACGTAGATTATGAGTTTCCATGACTTTCTAGGTGAATTTACCCCCAAATTCAAAAAAATCTAGGAAATTTTCGTCACTGAAGTCAAATAATCTTCAAATGGAGAACTCTAGATAAAATGCAAAAGTTTCGCACCGAGCAGGATTCGAACCTACGCGGGCAGAGCCCAATTGATTTCTAGTCAATCTCCTTAACCACTCGGACATCGGTGCACATTCGCCGCTCTCCAACAATGCGTCAAAAGAACGTAGCACTGCGATAACTGCGGCAACCCGCGCTACCTTGCAGCGCATGCTCGGCCA